AATAGTAAATTGAATTTTGCAAGAATCAGTATGAATTATTTGTTACAAGGATATTCGTTATGGAATATATGATTTGATATTGTAATTCGCGAGAACTGGATGCGTGCACGTGAATAAGATAGGGAGAGAGATTAATTACATATTAACAGTAAAATCGAAATTAGCATGAAGAACCCGACGAGCGAATTTGCATGGATGGCGTAAAAGGCTAGATGGGAATCTGAGCAAGTTCCCAATGCAATTATGTAATTCGAAACGCGCACAAGTGTAACAGCAGCAGCGAGAGGTCAGTACGTGCGTATAAATGAGTTTGGTTGCCAAGGAAATAGACAGAATCATTAACCATTTCCTGTTTGTTTTATTTTTTTCTTTTGTTTTGTGCATTTACATTTTTTCCCACCCTTGGATACTCTACCTAATCAAAAAAAAAAGACAGTTTTCTTGAACAATTCAACCGTGAAAATGAAATAAGTAAAAGACATGAATTGAACTCGATATTATTAAATTATATTCAGCATACGATTATTCCGACCGGAAGCGCAAGAAACACTTAACAGCACTTCTTTTTTTGAACCGGTATTGGATTTCCTTCCGTCGCTTCGAAAGCGAATCCATCTGTTGTCAATGCGTCTGAATTAGTCCGTGACTAAAGTTTTTAGAGAGATCCCAAAATTGGTAACTTAATTGGAAACGATTATGCGATTGTTTTGTTTCAATTAAATTGTTTGTACGATTACCATCTTCTGGAAACTTAAGCGTCCATTGTAGTCTTCTTGTTTTGTTGTTGTTGTTTTTGTTGTTGTTTTTTTGCAACGACCGCTTCACGGCTCGCTCACCTGCAACAAAGATCTCTGGTGAAATGTGTTCAAGTCTAAAACGATTCAATTTCATTAATTACAACAACAAAAAAACACGAACAATATTCATTATTTGTAGTGATATTACATTCTATTTTACATTTTGTTATTGCAATATCATTCGTAGAAATTAACTTTGCCATTTTGTTGTCGTGGTATAATTTTAATTGCTTTACATATTTGGAAAAACACTGGAAACGCATTTATTACATAATTCATCAATCCATCAGATTGTTAATGTTTCATACCTTTACTTATGCATTAGGTCTCGTTGTTCAATTGCTGATAATTTAAACTAACATAAAGGAAATGTTGGTTTTACCTGATGTTACAATAAACAACTTGCATCAAAATGATTCCGTAAATCCCCTTGAGTTATCCTTCATTTCTTATTGAAAGTGAGTTTTCCCGGAAGCGGATCGTTATAAATTTATTCGTACCATACGTAAATAAACATGACCGTCTTGTGATTATTAAAGTGCACCTCCGCCATATGCGTCCTATTTCAGAAAAAAAATCTCAGACTCGACCAGACATATTTCAAGCTTGCAGCAACTCCCTGATAATAAACATACATATATAAAAAAATCTAATTTTAAGACGAAGACTTTTCACAAACCAATATTGAAATCAAAGATGCATTCAATATTCTAGAAACAATAAAACTATGTGGAATTTCTTGGTGCACTTAATAATAATTGCACAATGCAATTACTTTAATGAGAGTAAAGAAAGTACAAGTGTCATTATATGGTTTACTTGGGCATGTTTGCTACTTTCAGCGTTTTAGTAAATTATGAGGTGTGCAAAGAGGCACGATTTTACATGGTACCTGAACATGCATTAACCATCGAACCAATTATTTTCGCATGTTTCGCACAACTTTTCTTTGCAGATTATAATATTAACGATTATTTGTCCATTTGTACAAAACAGCAAATGTAGAAGTAAATTATTTATTTATAGCATATTTCAAGACGTTATGTAATATAGTAAACATTAAATAATTAGTTTAACGTTAGAAGATAATGTATTTTCATATAAATAAGCAAAATACATTTCACTTTCTATACATTAATTGTTTCTTCGTTTACTGAATAAAGCAACATTAATATTACATAATTTGATATCTACTGGAAATAATATGTGTATTGGAATGTAATTGGAATTTTCAATTAGAAAAGTGAAGCTTTTAATAAAGTGCCAGGTAGAAAGTACCGTTAATCTGTTCCCTTCCTGAAACTCTGGGTTTCTCTTCAATCATTCCTACCACCAATTTCTACTGCAATGATACCAAATGTTATTAGATCCGTCTAAAAAAAGTATTTTCCAACGGTCTTACGAACGGTTTCGTTTAAAGTGCTCTTCTATTTTTAAATATGCTTAATTAGTTGTCTATGTTTCTAGTTTCGTGTCTTATGATTTGTTTTTAATTAGTAATACAAAATGTAATTTATGTTTTTTCCCCCATTTCGTCTGGTGACTAATCGGAGAGAATTTTGGAAATCAATAGATTTATTCTACTCGACTGATACTTTCACTCTTCACGGTGCATTTCAACATTAGATTTCCAACCGGTGGTAACGGAGGAATATAGTAAATCATAACCATTTGATTAAAGTGATTCAGATATGTGTGTTTCATTGATGAGGCAAAGTTTTAAACTAATAAATTAAATAATACGGGCGTATTTATCAATCTGCTTTATGAACCAATGTCGTAGGTTAATGTTAACACTCCAGACACACGTAATCGATTCAATTGAAATCCATTCCCAAACGAATGATCTAATTGAAGTCGTTAACTTTGACATGACTTTCCCTGTTAATTAGAAAGTATGAATGATCCCAATTAACATAGTCGCTATTGAATTCATAAATCGGTATGCGGAGAGAAGGAAAACCGTAGAATGTAATGGAAAATTGAAGAATAAAAAGCTTACAATTTATTATGCACATACGAAATTACGACATCGCAGAACAAGTTTAAAAGTCAGCGAGGAATTTCTGTGGAAGTAATGCATGTATTCCATTAAATATAGTAAACTTATGAATGGATGAAAAAGTCGAGATCTTTGTTCTCGATGCAAAGAAAACGAATCTGAATTATGCATTCCAGCCGCGTCTCAAACATGCGCATTTTTTCGTTGCTGTTGTTGTTGTGCTGTTATGAACGATCCTTTGTTTGGCCAGCAGATTTATACTGAAATGATTAGGTGAGAGGTTAAAATAATGCTAGTTACAAAAGCCACACGCTCACGGAAATAATTGGAAATGGTAATAAATCCCAATGGCATTGTACATACGAAATGCATGTTGTAGAATTATTTCGTTTTGTGTTGTTTTGTTCCTCGATTAGAATATCAATGGGATGTAAAATACGTGAGCATAATAACTGTACGAAATAGTAAAACGAACGACAACAACAAAAAAAAAAAGGATCTAAATTTCAATTGTACTGGAAAAGCAATCTCCTTGCCAAAACGATACTCTTATCAACGATTTTATGTTTGCAGAAACGACACGTGACAACTTGGAGGTAACTTATTAACAATCGCTGAAGATTATACAACTGTATGAATATATTTATAAAAAAAAACAAGCTATTGTTCAAAAGTTTTGTATAAAAGATACAAATTGACGCACTTATAAACATTCTAATCTATTAGACAACTAATGGTATAAGACAAGAAGACAGATATAATAAAATACTTTCTTAGAGGATAATGCGACACGTCATAGCTATTTAACCTTGAAATAAAATGAAAGTATTACTTGAGAAGCTTATTAGAATTCTTACAACTAAATTAACAAACAAAAAATAATTTTAGAACTTTTGTTGATTTTTAGAAAAATTTCATAAAATCCAATTAATTATGATAATAATTGTTTGGATTTTATAAAGATTTGCCTATATACTTAATTTTAGTATAATAATGCAATAAAGATTCAAATAAAATAAATTTATAGAATTTATTACACATGATAACTTCTAAGTAATTACACACATCTCAATTTAGTTTTTAGCTTGTATTAGGTAATTACAAATATGTACTATTTATGCTATGTTATAATTATAAGCAAGAACATATAAATGTGTATATTATTTAGTACTGAAAATTATGGATTTTTATAAAATGTATTGAAAATAAATCATGTCAAAAAAACATATAGCCTCAGAAATTGGAAGTTTTCATTATTAGTTTACAAAATCTGAACTACTAATTGATAAATTTTGTAGTTAAAAAACTCATAATTAAAACTATTTCAATTTGAATTGCTTTAAAGAAATAAAGATGAATTTACGCCAATTATATGATCATTTCACATGTTTAATGAATTATTCACATGCATTAGTCTCTGACAAAAATAATAAAAGGAGCTAAAAATTATGTCCAACAGCAAAATGAGAAAAAAATAAAACAATATGCTTCCTGTGGGAATCAAATAATGACGTCTGCTCTTATATCGCGTTTTCTTTTCTTCCTCCGGTTCACATAGAAAAGAACAAGTGTCAGACGTATGTAGTTTTTCCGTTTCCGCGTGCATTCTATCTTTCTATATATATATAAATACATTTGTGTCTGTGTGTATATAAATTTCATTTTGTAGCAGTGAGAAATGTTGCCAGTTGTAAATTCAATGCGTGTCGGTCTCGGGGCCTACTTTCTAATGTCACTTTAAACACTCCGCTTTACATATTTCGAACGCAAAACGCTCAATTTGGGTCGAACAGAATTAAGTAAATCAAAAACAAAAACTTGGAATACAATTGCATTTGCGTTCGAACAAAATCCAATTGATTTTTTCGTTAAGAATGTCCACACTCCTACGTGTATAATAATAGATGTGACCGTCGTCGCCGATGAGCTATTTTACAACCAGGAACCTCGTAAATTAAATATATAAATATAAACAATTTGAAGCCTTGACTGTGTCTTAGAATAAATTACGCCGTCTCCTACAACAAAGAGATAAGTTTCGTTCCGCTCCGACCATCAAGGCCTCTCTGGTCTGTCACTTTGCCAAAAAAAAAACCATTCATACATATTTCATATTTCAATAAATAGAAACAAACAAATTTTGCATTTAACAATTTCTACTTATTCTATTGATCATATCATGAAATCGATTTCATTTCCAGATTGGCAAAGCTGCAGAATTGGTGATACACATTCCAGGAAACTTAAATCAGGATGGTGTCGTGTACAGATTGGACTACTATCCGCCCTTCGGTCATCCGGAACCGAACACGACGATAGCTTCAAAGGATATCCACGACGTGATCACGTTTTCTAAAGCGCTTCCAGGAACCAAGTACGACTTCTGGTTGTACTACTCGAATTCCACACACAACACGCTAACGTGGACTGCTAACTTCACTACAGGTATTTATTTTTAACTCATTCGTGTTCTTCAGCTTGCGTTTTCACCGCAAGGTCTCTGCACTTTCATCTAAACATTTTTAATTCCCTGCTATTAATTGGATTGATGTGTATAGTTAAAAATCGCGAATGGAAAAAAAAAATGATAATTTACCCAATTCATCGGTGTTTCGAGGACGTTCAAAAGGTCACCGAATAATGATTTGTGACTGGGAAAACATCCTTTCACACTTGCCTCCGCGACACAATATTTCTCAATAAAAAACAAAAATGTAATTTCTTTCATTATGCTCACTTCCATTGTTGTTGCCGTCAGATGAAAAAAAAATGCAATAATGGAAAACAAATGTAGGAAATGTTAAATTATACGATACGTAGTTTCGCATAGTAAATAATTAGTGCGATTCTAAAATGGCAAACAACATATTTTCGCCTCTTTCATTCTATGAATGTATGTTAGTAAATCTCATTGAAACGACCTTTTCGCATGACATAAAAATTGATGCTAATTATTTGCTTGCTCAATTAGAAGCAGCTTCAATAACGGTAGAACCAGAGGAATAACGTCACGAACTCTTTCAATTCACGTTGTTATGATTCACTCATTTTTTTATTATTTCTTAGGAAATATCACAGTTTCAATTTGTCTTTCTTCAAGCATGAATTCAAATTGAATATTTTCGAAATATACAAAAAAAATATTTATATTACTATATTAGCTATAGCTGATGTTAATATGTTCAGCAGATGCGTGACGCAATACTCATATTCGTATTCCTTGCTATGCAGAATTTGAAAGTTCATCCACCACAGTGCGTTGCTTCTCAAGAGCGTACCAATATAAATATAAAAATAAACTCGCTTGTAATCTGAACACTTTATACAAGACGAAACACATTAATTACACTTTATTATAAACACAAGACTATTTTGTTTACTAAATACAGTAGTATAATTTAATACTAAAGATACGAATCTCCGAAATGATACTTTATTGTAATTGTTCTTTTTGTGTACAAAATCGTGTCTTGGACAAGGTAAAATTATGTCACATGGTTTGTATTCTAACGAAATGTAAATTATATATTTCAACCATAATTATGTCGCATTCAACAACGTATAAATAATAAACGACTTAAAGAATCAATTTAAAGTATTGCATAAACAGGAACATTAAAGAATAACACACCGTTATTAGATAAACGAGAGCGAACTTAATCCGGGTCTAAATTATGTTGCGAGATATGTGGACATTTACATAATAAATCCAAAGCTTCGATGTACATGTTTGTTATCAACTACAACATAATTTGTTTATATTTCTTATAACTATAATGATTTTTTTTTTATTGCAGAACTAAAATTAATAAATATATTTGTTAGCTTTTTAAATTGATAGTTTTACGGTCACAAACTATGTCGTATTTTTATGAATTTTTAGTTCCTGATCCTCCATCCAATCTATCTGTGATTGCTCGCAATGGTAAGGTAGCTGTGATCTCTTGGAGTCCACCATCTCAGGGCAGCTATTCCACATTCAAACTTAGAATAAACGCACTATCCACGTCGATAGAACCAAAACCACAGACGATAATAGTGGACGATGTGGAGACGACGTTGAAAGATTTAACACCAGGCGCCACTTACCAGGTTCAAGCGTACACGGTATTCGAGAATAAAGAAAGTGCTGCATACACGAGTAGAAATTTCACTACAAGTAAGTGTGTGCGTGTAAATAACAACACTATAAATAATAAATCTTATTTTAGAACCAAACACGCCCGGTAAATTTATCGTATGGTTTAGGAATGAAACTACGCTATTAGTTCTTTGGCAACCGCCTTATCCTCCGGCTATTTATTCGCATTACAAAGTATCAATAGAACCCAATGATGCAATTGACAGTATTTTGTACGTGGAGAAAGAAGGCGAGCCTCCGGGTCCTGCACAGGCGGCGTTCAAGGGCCTCGTGCCTGGCAGGGCTTACAATATTTCCGTGCAGACCATGTCGGAAGATGAAATCTCCACACCAACCACGGCTCAATATAGAACCGTGCCGTTGCGGCCCTTAAATATAACATTCGATAAGGCTTCGATTACATCGAATTCGTTTGTGGTTCGATGGGATCCGCCAAATGGTAAATGTGAATTTGACAAGTACCAGATTTCGTTGGGTCCTGGGCGTAAGCATCAAGGCGTTACAAAGTTGCGTGACGAGCAGCCAATGGTTAAATTCAAAGATTTAGATCCAGGAAAGACGTACCAAGTTATAGTAAAAATAGTTTCTGGCAAAGTAACGTCATGGCCAATGCAGGCCGAAGTTACTTTAAGTAAGTTAAACATTTTTTATAATTGCTAACATATCTGTAATCAAGACATTTATTTATTTTTAATCAGAACCATTGCCGGTAACGAATTTGTACGCTGACGTCGATCTAAACAGCAATACTGTTATTATTTCTTGGACTCCAAATGTAAACAGTAACCAATCAGCTTATTTAGTTTCGTACCACGAAGTCGAGAGTTCCACTGGGGATTCTAATACAATTACTACGAACGAAACGAAGATTTCTTTGGACGCGCTACTTCCAGGCCGCAATTATTCCATAGCGGTGCAGGCGATTTCCAAGAAAACGGAATCCAACGAGAGTTTCTTGTATGTCGTTACCAGGCCAAGTGCGCCGATTATCGAGGACTTGAGACCTTTAGTGGATGGTTTAAACATTAGCTGGAAATCGGACGTGAATTCGAGGCAAGATAAGTACGAAGTGGAGTGCGTAAGAAATGATACGAACGATTTTATTTTGCGGACAACTTATGAGTCACGAATAGTGTTGACACATCTTTATCCTGGAGCTGGGTACATGGTGAAAGTGTTCGCAATATCCCATGGCCGAAAAAGTGAACCGCACGAGTATTTCCAACCAGTTTGTAAGTAATTTCGTCTTTTAAAAGTCTTCAGGCGTAATTCAATTTTACTTTCAAGTCCCGAGACCACCAACAAATATGACCATTGAGAAAACGACAACAAACTCGGTTATTGTGCAGTGGCATTCACCGCTCGATTCCTTAGTTACTGAATATGCTATCAGATATAGGACAGATAGTGATAGGACTTGGGTTCGATTGCCGGCTGTACAAAATTTGGAAGCGGAGGTAACGGATATGACGCCCGGCGAAAGGTACACTATTCAAGTTAACACTGTAAGTTACGGATTAGAAAGTAATGAGCCGCAACAACTGAACCACACCGTTCGTAAGTTACATAACAATTTCGTTTTATTTTCAAATTAATGATTGCACTCTTAGGTCCTAATCCCGTTTCGAATATTGCTCCATTGGTTGACTCCAATAATGTAACTTTGGAATGGCCACGACCGGAAGGTCGTGTCGAGATTTATATTGTTCGTTGGTGGGAGGCAGTCACCAATCCGGTACAAATTAACAAGAGAAACGTTTCCCAGAATAACAATAATACGACAGGCCCAGTGAGGCTTCTCGTCGGCGATTTAATGCCTGGAGTCGAATATGACTTCGACATTCAAGCCATAAGTAATGACTTGGAGAGTGACATTACTCCGCTTAAGATTAGAACCAGTAAGCTTTATCCCTGAGATATATAATATAATCGTGTGTATGTGCTTTGCTACAAATAAAGTTTTCAGTGCCTTTAATTCAATCCGAAGTAGTGGTTGTCAACAATCAAATATCCACGGATTCTATTAGCTTGAGGTACACCCCAACACCTCAGACCTCCTCAAAATTCGATTTGTACAGATTCTCGCTATCTGAGACAAACATTCCTGATCAAGAAAAAGATGCTAACGATACAGACACCCTCGTTAAATTCACTGGATTAATCCCTGGTAGGCTGTACAATATCACTGTTTGGACCGTTTCCCAAAATGTTGCCAGTCAACCTTTACAAAGGCAAGATAGACTATGTAAGCGAAATTGAATGCCGATATGATCATAGAAGACCAGTGTTAATTCACATACTTATTGGCTTTTAGATCCCGAGCCTATAACAGGCATAAATTCAACTCACTCTTCAGAAACAGAAGTTACACTTTCGTGGGCTTTACCCAGGGGCGAGTATAATGCTTTCGAGGTTCAATATCTGACATCGGAAAATGTTTTGATACAAAATTTGACGTTGTACAATTCAATAACTATCACTGATTTGAAGCCGCATAGAAATTATACATTCACAGTGGTATGTACTTTTTATTCAAATTATTTATGGTGGACTGGGGGGCATTTTATGTGTTTTCTTAATTTATTGAAAAATAAATATCAATGTTATACAATTAATAAATTGCAAATATAAATAATGTGGACTTGAAGGTAAGTACTAAAACGATCAATGTTAACTTGAGTTAAGAAAATAGTTATAAACTAACTAATTTTACTTTACTTTATTATTACGAACATTGATTTTAGATTGTGAGAAGTGGTACAGAATCAAGCATATTGAGACGATCGTTGCCGTTTTCATCGACTTTTATGACACAAGAATCGGTACCTGGTAAAGTGGACAAATTTTATCCAATCGACATACAGCCTAGTGAAATCACTTTCAACTGGTCATTGCCAACTTCCGAACACAACGGAGTCATACAAAGATTCACAATTACCTACGGATTGGACGTAATAAATACAAATTCATTGATAAGATGTCGTTTTCATTGATGTTCGTTCGTAGGGTTCATCGCATACAATCATAAGAGAATTCGGTGCCGACAAATTCTCAGGAATCATCAGGCAGTTGGAACCCGGACGAAAATACGTCTTCAAAATACAAGCGGAAACTAAAGTTGGTTACGGTCCGGAAGCTATACTGTTCCAGAAAATGCCAATATTGGCTCCACCAAGACCCGGACCTCAGGTTGTTCCAACTGAGGTGTGCAAAAGCTCGACAACAATTCAAATCAGGTTCCGGAAGAACTACTTTAGCGAACAAAATGGCGCCGTAAATAGACGATATATATATTATATAACTATTGTATTCAAATTGAATGCATCTCCTTTTAGGTTATTTCGTATACCATAATCGTCGCCGAGGACGACTCGAAAAATTCATCCGGTCTCGAAATGCCTTCATGGCGCGATGTGCAAGCGTACTCCGTGTGGCCACCTTTCCAAATCATGGAACCCTATTATCCATTCCAAAATAGTTCCGTGGAAGACTTCACTATTGGTGCAGACTCGTGTGACGTACGTCATACTGGTTACTGTAATGGACCATTGAAGTCCGGCTCCACATACAAAGTCAAAGTGAGAGCTTTCACCGCACCAGACAAATTCACCGACACTAGCTACAGTTTCCCACTGCAAACAGGTTAATTTTAATGCATGACTAAAGATCTTAAATACCAATGCCAACTATTGTTGCAGACCAAAATAATACACCTATTATACTTGGCATAGTAATTCCTTTGGTGCTTATATTGCCGATCGTAATAGTGGTACTCGTCAGGAGGAAACGTGCGCAAGGAAGGAATGCTACTGAATCCAGAACGGACAACATGTCTTTACCGGATTCCGTAATTGAAACGAGCAGACCTATCCACATAGAAAATTTCGCTAATCATTATAGGATTATGTCAGCTGACTCTGACTTTAGGTAATCAATTACACAAATTCCTTAACAGTATTCTTTTTCACCTTTATAATATTTAGATTTAGCGAAGAATTTGAAGAGTTAAAACACGTGGGAAGTGACCAACCGTGTAGTTTTGCTGATTTACCATGTAATAGACCGAAAAATAGGTTTACTAATATCCTACCATACGACCACTCGAGATACAAATTACAGCCTGTTGACGACGAGGAAGGATCTGATTATATTAATGCAAACTACGTTCCCGTAAGTTATTCATAACAGACAATATCAACTGAATTTTTTAACTCTTCTCGTTATTAGGGTCACAGCTCACCTAGAGAATTTATAGTTACTCAAGGTCCCTTGCACTCGACGCGAGATGATTTTTGGAGAATGTGTTGGGAAAGTAATTCAAGGGCCATCATCATGTTGACCAGATGCGTTGAAAAAGGTCGGGAGAAGTGCGATCACTACTGGCCGTACGATACCGTACCCGTCTATTATGGCGACATTTCTGTTCAAATCCTAAACGAGAGTCGATATCCCGATTGGAATATTTCCGAATTTATGGTTTGCAGAGTATGTGAAATTAAAATAAGTTGTCTTCACATATTTTCATCGCTTTATTCATTTTGTAGGGTGACATTCAACGCGTTATTCGTCACTTCCACTTCACGTCTTGGCCAGACTTTGGAGTTCCAAACCCACCCCACACTCTAGTCCGTTTTGTGAGAGCCTTTAGAGAAAAGGTTGGCTCCGACCAAAGACCAATCGTAGTCCATTGCAGGTAATTCGTGAATGCAAATTGAAACAGTTTGAATGGTTATTAAAAATACTGTTAATTTTCAGTGCTGGTGTTGGAAGGTCCGGTACATTTATTTGTTTGGATCGTATACTCCAACAAATAAGGAACTACGATTATGTAGACATATTTGGTATAGTGTACGCTATGCGAAAAGAACGCGTGTGGATGGTGCAAACTGAGCAGCAGTACATTTGCATCTACCAATGTTTATTAGTCGTTCTGGAAGGTAAAGAAGTCACCGGACCTCCCAGAGAAATACACGAAAACCAAGGATTCGAAGGTGAGCCCTGAATTATGTCGTCTCAAGAATCTATTTTTTTGGGGTTACTTTCCTTCACTCTTCTTTCTGTATCCAGAGTAATTCTTCTTGTATAAATCTTGATTATGGTGATAGGTAAAGGTGTAGGTAACGGTGCAGTAGATCAATCTCTTGGCCCTGGCGAAAAAGAACGATAAAAGACAACTTAAACGGCGTTGGTAATTCCTCGAATATTTTTATGCATGTCATTTTGCACTACTTAACAACTTTATTTCCTACTAACTTACATTACTAACATATATTTTAATTTAACTAGTTATTATTTTTTTAATCCCAGCTTCGTCTATTTGGATAACGCAAAATCAGTAGAAATAACAAAATTTCAATTATTTTCTATATATGAAATGCTCTCTACATTTATTTTCTTAGATCGATAGTTAATGCTATTTTTTTGTTCTTCCCATCTTTAGATGATGAGGGTATCGCTGAATCCGGAATGTGAATAAATTTAAGCGTTACGTAAGTGGCAACAATACGTTGCGTAAGTAATCAAAAAAAATCTGGCGAAATGCCGGAACGAAATTGTTACATAAATTTTTAAAATATTACAAAAACATACGAACTAAACGTGTGTTAAACAAAAACAAAAACATTCTTATCCACAAAAGAAAAGATAATTTGATTGAAAAAAAAGTAGGTTTTTTTATTTTTATTCGGTAATAAATAATAATTTTAATTTGTATCTGAAAGTATTTTACTTGTATTATCGTATTTATTTCATCACATTTGTCTTAACTAATAATTTTACTTTCTTTATACTAACTTTTTCATCATTTAGTTATTTAATCTTTACATTTGTTATTATGTACACCCGCAACAATAGTATTTTTTTCATTACAATTCATTGTGAAATTAAGCATTTCGGAAATATGAATATTGTGTCCATTGTCAAATAGCTACGAGTATTAAAGTACCTATAAATTCTCGAATGATTTTCTTGATCGATTGATATTATTTGGAAATGATTATTTTACAAAATCAGCTTTAATGCGATGACAAATTTTGAGTAACAATTTTTTTCGATGGTATTGACATATTTTTTTTTAAATAATTGAATGTACTTAGGAAATTATTTCTGTGATAAAGTTGAACATTGATTGATTGTTTGTTTGTTTTTATATTATTATTATTATTAATGTTGTCTGGGTATTGAAACTCATTAGACATACAACTTCATACAATTAGCTATAGTTGTATTGGGGTTAATCTATTTTATATATTGTACAATTTTGTAAAAATAATAGCAATGTATATTTACACATATTATGTATTAAATTTATTTGAAGTACTTAATTTTTATTCTATTTAGCTGACAAAGAATTTTTTATAAAATATCACAATTATACGTAATTTATCGTTTTCTTTTTTAATTCTACATTCCTCCATCCACTGAATTACAAATATTTACAGGTGTTACAAAATAAAATATGTTGAACTTCAAATATTGTTTGTTATGAAATGAAAGATGTCAACAAATTATAGTTAAAAAGAAACTTGTTCAAAATTGTGTGTGTTATTGAAATTATATATTCAAAATGGAAGGTAAGTAGTTTTGTTATTATTGAATTTCATATTTATTCATTCTAATTTACCTTAAAGTAAACATTCTTCACGTGTATTAATTATTAATTTACACCAATTTCTTGTCTTCCTCTTGAGTTCATCGCAATTTCAGTCATCTATTACAATTCCTCGACATATGTAGCTTAAATTTCGTAATTATAAAATAGTTTTAAAAAATTTAAAGCATTGCTAAATCCCTTTTTATATAAGTATTGATTAAGAAATTAAAGCTACAATGTATTCGTTTTCCGACGAAACAAAGAAATTATGTGACATCAATAAATTTGATGATGCCGAAGAGACAGGTCACGGCAACCAATACCTATATATTTTTTATAACATCACGCGAATCAGTTTCCTTATATACCAGACATATGGCACCACATCCGACTCGACTCGCATACAAACTAGAGCATTGCACACAAATAGTTTAGAAAAACAGAATGATCGAAGTAGATATAGACGAAGGTAAGTATTGGTAAATCAAAAGTTTACTAATTAAATCCTTTCATCCCAAAGATTTTGAGTACGTTGTGAATCGAAAGAAACCCGAGAGGATTTGCTTCGGTATGACCGGCGACAGGAAAACGTTATTCGATATTTTCAAATTCCAATCGAAATGTGGACCACAGACGTATCACATCCATACATTCAACAAAGTATTTTGAATAATCAATAACATATGCATACTAAATGCTTTGTTTTAGCCTAGAAGCAAGAGGGGAATGGCTGGAATCGGAAATATATCGAAACGTACGATGCCTATAAATCATACAGATACACCGAGCCCTTGCAAGTACAACGTAATCTCAAAGATGAAACCGAAATCAAATTTCGTACCATTTAATAGCTCTGTAAAAGTACGAAAAGGAATTGTGCTGAAAGAAGGACCTGGGTATATATGAATATGAATTTTAATGAATCATTTCAAAAATCTCTTTTTCAAGGCCCACCGTTTATAATGCTTATAAAGTAAATAAATGTAAACGTACAGAATTCGATTGCAATTTCGGACATCCTTGTATGATCCAAAACGTGGAAATGGTTTGCATTAATTATCCTACCGAGAAGTGCGTCAAGTGCGAGAGGCCTTTCGAAGTAGGCGACCACTGGCACTACCATTATTCCATCTATTTGTGTACTTTTTGCATGGATGAAGAGCATCGCCTTCATGAGTTGTACACACCAAATGAATTGAAAACATTTAAAGTATTTTTCTTTATTTCTTTTTTAAATTCTTTATTTTTCTGTTCGATTTCAGAAAATAAGAACTTGCAACTATATGCATAAACACGAAAGAACTTCTGCAAAAATACGACTTTTGACGCAACACGAGATCAACAAGAAAATACGGCTTGAGAACTATTTAGCTCTTTATTTGAAATGTTATTAATGTTTTTTTTATCAATTATTTAGAAAATATAGATGTAATTTAATTGTTTAGACTCTAATTTTAAATAAATTGGTATGATACAATTACTTATTATTTAATTTTAAATTAGTTTAAATAATAACGTGAACTTTTAGAAGTTACATAAGTATACAAATTTGTATAAGGTTTCCGAATTTTATGCAATCTCACTACAATCGTGTATTCATGGTTATCTACCATACGCGACCAAAATTAAGAAAAATGTCAACGTGAGAGGACAGCACATGATGTATGCATATATGCTATCGAATGTAAATGCAGATTTATTGGTTGCATAAAATTGTTAAAAATCTGTCAAGGGTTTCGTTCCAAAACAAGACCAAATCAAAGTTATAATCAATAGTTCACAATAGTTGTTGCATCTGTGCAAAGAAGAAACACCATCAGTCGTGTCCATGTAGAAAATAACTAAGAATTTTATGGCTAGAAAGAAAATAAACAAGAGAGGTAAGAACTACAACATACTATCAATAATAGATATTAATAGAAGCAACAATATTCAAATAAGTATAGAATCGAATCTTCGTAGTGTTTAAGTTATACGAGTGAAATTATCTGATAAATAATGAAACATTTGATAATATTTTAGTTTTGCAATATAAACAAACAAAGATATGTTTTCATGGTTATTTCTTTATATTAGTCATATAATATTACAATTATATAAAATAATTTGCAACAAATACAAAAGCTATATTGCTTTTTATTTTCTATATTACATGCAAAAATCAATACTAGCACAATGAAGATGAATACAGTTTGGTTTGTTGATTTTCGGTTTTAA